AATGAATGTCATTGTATATCTCTAATTTCCTGCTAAATGCACCTAAGTTTAAAAAAAAAAGTTTGAGAAAACTCTGGATCAGTAGAAAAGCTTTTCCAGTATATTCGTTTTTAATAAGGACATTTATTTGTAAGTATTTAGCCCTCCGCTGAGTACTCCTCTGGTCTCTATTACTAAAACCTCACCTAAGCCTGTTATTATTTAGCACCTAGTAACACAGATGTTTTGCCATAAGGTTAATCACTTAACTTTTTTGGAAGAGCAATTATTAAAGAATGAGAACTACACTGGTAAGCTGGACTTTTCTTCCCTCTATGCTTTTAATAACATAGTCTCTATTTTATAGTAATTTGACATATAGATTTATAATAAAGCTATAATAATATATAATAATCTACTAGACAATGCCTAGTACAGAGGTTCTCAAGGTGTGGTCTCTGGATCAAGAGCATCAGCATCATCTGGAAACTACTTAGAAATGCAAATTGCTGGGTCTACTCAGATCTACTAAGTCAGAAACTAGGTAGGAGTCAGTAATCTGTTTTAGCAAGCCTTCCAGATGATTCTGATGTACCTAAAACTAAAAGCCACTGGCCTAAAACACAACTGGCATTTAATAAATGTTAAATTAGAAGGAAGAAGAGAAAAGGAGGGAGAGTACACACACGTGCAAATAGCAGGGCAAGCAACCTTCCAACACCATATTCTAAAAATAGTAATTATTACGTATCTGAGAATAGTCTGTGCAAGGCAAATATAATAAACAGATTATAAAAATCATGTTGTTTATCAATTGTTATGTGAAAGGGCTAAGCACTATTTACTCATAGTTTTCTGACTCATATGGGTGAAAGTATTTTTTTGAGAATGTCATTCAGAAATTTCTATAGAAGACTTAGTGAGAGGACATCATTGGTCCATTTCCTATCTCCGCTACTTACTCTAGCTACGTAATCTTCGCACAGGACTTAATCTCAGGATTCCTCAGCTTTCAAGTCTGTTAAATGGGGATAATAGTAAAAGTGCCTCTTCTTTGGGTTGTTATGAGGATTAAATGTATATATAAAGGACTTAGAACAGAGCCATAGTAAATAAACACTCCATTCACATTAGAAAATATCACAATTAATATAACGATTTCTATTGTCCTTAGACCAGAAAAGTGGCCTGTGCTCTGGGCTTTAAAGGGTCCTGCTCTGTCTCCTTCCAGTGGTGCTTCTTCTCACTGAGCAATGGATCTGCAGGACCCGGGGGGAGGTGTCTACCCAGACCCTGTCCCATCCCATTCTCCATTTAAACCACTGGCTATCGCCCAGAAGTCTGGAATTCCTTGCCTAAGGGGCCCTGTGTTGTGTCCAGGACCTGTGAGGCCCTTTTCTGAACTCCTGTCCTCCTGAGGGTGGACCAAAGAGCTGGTGTGGGTACCCCAAGACCTGAGGGGTGGCCAAGGGTGGCTAGGGCAAGAAATGTGACTGGAGTATAAACCAGAGAGGCGAGGTGTTCTGGTTTAAGTGCCTGATATTAAAATTTTTGATTATAATGTAAATGCCTGATATTAAGCTTTTGATTGCTAAGGAATCCATTCAAAGACAGTCATCTCGAATGACCATATTGTCAGCTATATGATGCAGCTACTAGTAAAACAACTAGATAAGAAACAAGGCCCCTCTATACATGAAGTGCCCTTATAGAAAGCCCAGGTAACATAGGTAACTGACCACTTGAGTAACCCAACTTCTCCCTAACTGTACCTAATTCCTATTCTTATGTTTTAAATCTGCCATGTGTGAGCTTGCCACAAGTAGCAGAGGCCCAGGTGAGTGCTTCGGGCATTTCTAGCCACAGTATCACTAGTCAGTCTGAGACTGACACAAAACAGGTGTCTATATGGATATATGAGAGACCCTTCATGGTGCCAAGAATGGGGCTTTTCTAATCACGCACAGGAGAGAATACAGTCTCAGTTCAAGCATTCTAAATGCCAAGTTGGTGTTCCCCATCGTTTTGAAAATGTATTTAACAGAATGTACTATATTATGTATTTAACAGAATGTACTATATTTACCAGTCTTTTATATTGGTTTATGAGTTTTAAACATGTACGTAAACAGTATGTGGACCTCTTTTTATACTACTGCCCCAGTCCCACAAAAGTTAGGGCTAGTCTCGAGTATAAAAAAAAACAGCTAAAATTAAAAATATCAAAAGAAGGTAGTTCCATGCCTCTTTAACATCATCTCTGTTCTTTATTTGGGGTTTTATACCAAAACAAATATGCGCATATCTCCAATAGGAATTGTGAAAAATAATATAAACAGAATCCTTCAAAATGGAGTTGGAGCTGCTACCCCAGAGGACCTGCCTTGTAAGTCTCACTCCTCAAACCTTTAGAATGTTAAAACTATACAAAATAACCTTTGGACTAGACATAAAAGCAGCACTGTATACCAAACAACTGTTTGCAAAGGCAACAAGAAAGCTGACATTATGAAATTAAAGACATTTAGAATTAGCATCATTATGTTAGCTTAACTCCATCTGTAAAAGTTTCTTCCTTCTATTCAGGAAATCGTTCCCCTTTCCTTTCTAATAAATATCCCTTGCCTTCACCTACTAACAGAAACACAAATTGGGTTTCTGCTGAATCACTGCTTCCTGAATAGCTATTCTTTTGTATCTCAAATAAAGACTTGTTGCCTTTCACTTTGGCCTTTTATTTTTAGGTTAACATATCTTACATAGACAGATATCCAATACGGCTGCAACTCTAATGCTTCTGACCAAGGCATTACTGACAACCAGTAAAGATATATAGTATATTCCCCGCCACAGCTCCCCCAAAATACTGTATATGGTGGAGGCATAAAACAACACACACACACACACACCACCCCCCAACCCTTGCCACCACCCCCAGCCCTACAGCTCTATGGTATAAGATGACAGTGTTCTCAGACAACAATTGAGTGACCTCGTCTAGATGCTCCCTGGGATCCTCAGAGTTTAAAGCAGTAAACCATAATACCGCTAAACTCTACTCAGGCATCTCACCTATGTAATCCTCAGTGTAATCCACCTGCATCCTCCTTCCTAATGCGCTGAACCGAGTACTTGACCTCTCATTGCTGCTGCCCTTCCTCTCAAAGCCTTTTCACTTAGTTCTCTAGAGACTTTTCCACTATTTTTAAAAGTCCCTGCATTCTCAACTTCAGAGAATACTCCCTCACCTGCCTAGTCCTAACTAGAATCTGGCTCCATCTATAGGACAATCCTTGCACTGCAGCCCTTTCAGCATCTGAAAAAAAAGAGTACATTTTTTCCTAAACCTTATTATTACTTCTAGGACAAATCACTTCCACTTGCTTGTGAAAAACCTTTTCTCTTTGAGGCAGAAATTCTAAAACCTAGCACTTCTACCTTTGTTTCCAGACACTCCTAGTCCTCCCTCCCATACTTTCATCATATGAGGCTCTTCACCAGGGCTATTCAAAACATCAATAGACTGCCTACTTTTTGAAACTGGTCCACAATAACTACAAAAATTGAAACTAAATATTTAGAACTTTATAACATTTTGACATCAGTGGACTTCTCTTTGAACAGGTGTCGAGTTCACATGGTGAGACACAGTGGTTCTGGCTATGCTCACATATGGGCCCTGTTTTTTTCTACCATAAGTGTTGCACAAACTTTATTGTGCACATAGGTAACTTAGAGAATCTTGTTAGAAATGCAGGTTTAGTAGTCTGGGATGGAGCCTGAGATTCTGCATTTCTAATGAGCTCCAAGTAATAACGATGCTGCTGGTCCATTGGCCCACTTTGAATAATGAGGCTTCAAACAACTTAATTAAGAGATTTTCTCCAACCAGCTGTGCTATTTCATATGCTTGTTATTTTGTGACTATTTCTCAAATATTACAAACCTAACCTGTACAGTTACTATAGTCTCTGTTTAGAGTCACTGCTACTCACAGACAGTGCAACTATGAAAAAGTTAATTATCCTCACTGTGCTGAGATATTCCTGATGGAAAATAATTATTTACATGTTTCTCTTTCACATCTTACTGTGCACACCTTGAGAGCAAGAATTTCCTTCATCCATTTCTGTATCCCTAACACATAGCATGTTCACAGGCAAAATTTTTTAAAAATTGACTGATTTTTTGATGTGATTATAAATCAATCTTATAAAGCTTTCAAAGCTATAGTAGGAACGAGCATTATAAAATGTTATCATGAAAACCATGAAATATCATATTTTGTTGGAAAGATTTTCTCTACTCGAAATAAAATCAACCATGAAGAATCATTTTAAATAACTTATGTAGGAGTTAGGACTCTATGACAATTACAAATCATTTATTTTGTGGCAAGAGTAAGCAGAGGAAAGAAAATGTGACAGCTGCTTATAACAAGAAGTCTTTGTGGGTGCTATTTTGTCTTTTTAAACAAGCAATACTTAAATGTATAAGTCTTGAAATTAAATTTTTTAGGTATGTTCTCCATTTTATCAATATATGATATATGATTTGACTAAAAAGTAGTTACTCAAGCATTGATATAAGAGAGGACACCCAGCAAACAATCTGATTTATTCCTTTATGAGGTCCTTATTTTTAAAACAAATTTAGACAAAGAGCAGTTTTTGAATGAAGTACAACTTCCAAATAATATTTAGGGGTAAACATAAAACACTGTCTTCTTCTTTTACCCCCCTGAAACATACTACAAGCTCTAGAAACTGTAGTTTTTTGAGGGGAAGTAGGGAGAAGTTAAAAAATAAGATTATTTGGAGTGAAGCCATGTAAGAGTATTTTCCCAAGAACTACTTGTACATGTCTTTGAATGACAGTTTCATTATGTCATCGTGCCTTGTCCTATGCCCCAGCAATGGAAAATGGTACAAGTAGATTCATTCAGAAAAGAGAGAATAATTCAAGATTTTATTTTCTTTATGCCTAAAGCTTTTCCAGCTTGGAAGCCTTCTTCTCCTTACCTCTGTTTTTCAGTGGAGGCAGGGTGGGGTGCAGATCTTTATTACATTCATTCCGTTCTGTGCAGCATTCGATTGATCTTCTTTGATGAGGAATGGGAGTGTCCTAAAATTGAACCCAAAGAGCTATTAGGGGTGTCCCCTAAACTTTGTAAATCACATAATCTGAAACTTAAAAAAATTAACACAATTTAGAGAATTCACTTAAAATTCTTACACAAATATGTTGAAAATATTGTTTTCTATTAGGTAATTTCTTTCAAATTACCATGTATTATCCTACTGCAATGTCTGCATTGCAACAAAATTGCTATTGCATCTGTAATAACCAGTGTGCCCAGCATAAACTGAGGAAGAAGGCTTGACTTAATGCAGTTAACTAAATTGGAATTTGAGCAATAAGATCTAATGGGTCACTAAGCCAGAAGTTAACAGCAAAGATAAAAATAATATTCAATTTTAAAATGAAGGGAGAATTGGCCCAATGAGAATGTTCAAATTATTTTCCAAATTACTAAAAACAGGCTAGTCAAAAAAAAAAAGTTTTTGTTTTATCTTGCTTGAAACTTAACTGCTTGAAATCCAGCTAATGAAAGGTTACAGAGTAGAATCGAGTTATCTTCCTTACCCGACACTGAAAATCTGAGCCTTCTAGTCCTAGACATCCAGAAGTTACCACAGGCATCCCAGAATCATCTTCTTCTATCATTGTGAAACAATATCCATCTGTGCTAAAGAC